GGAGCCGTAGCTTTTGCATTAAAATCAAACGGCATTTATCCTAAAAAACAATTGGTTATACAGAATTGAAAAATTGAAGCTTCTCCTTGCTCCTTAGCGTTAAGTGACCGAGGATTTTGAGGTTTGCGACCTGCCGAATGGATTCCAGTCAGAGGTGATTCCAAGACCTAGGTCAGGTCGAAATCAAATTCCAACCTGGATGAGAAACCATATTTTGGAATGTATTGACCAGTGATGACAAGTCTTATATTCAATTTGTCCTCAGTTAATTACTGCCATTTTCGGAAACGCGAAGCAACCAATTACATATTTTAAAACATTATCGGGATCTGTTAGTACTTTTTACCTCTAATACCTATTATAAATGGAGCTTGTGCTTGTTTTCAGGATGCAAGCGAGTCAATAGCTCGTCTAATCACGAGTCCAGAAGACGCATTGACTTACCTTAATCGACTGTCTAGCTCGCTGAACAAGCACCCAGTTACCAGTACGACCGCTCCCTTAGCTCCAGCCGACATACACTCCGATACCTTCACTCCGTCAAGTCTCTCGACTGACAGCATTCTACCTTCCATCAACTCGACTACCTCATCGACCACAACCTTCTCCTCCTACCCTCGGAAGCAGCCTGATTATTCAGCGAACAAGCACAACACTCCATTACCCTCAGTTACTTCAGCTTCGATACAAACAGACCATCTACCCACCTTCTCAAAGCGTCGACTTCCTGGAGCCGCCAATCTTCTATCCCGATCGTTAGCATCTCAGTCGCCTTCCTACATGAACATTGCTCATCCGCAGTCCCCTGGCATGGTTATCAGCAGGCATCAGATTCAGCAACCGCACAACCAATGGCCACGACATAGCCATCAGTTATATCCAGCTCCAATACAAGCACAGTATTTCCACGGATTCCCCCAGGCCAATATTAAACATCCTGAGCCACTAACATCCAGCACGACTACTCTTTTATCTGATCAGCATGGGCCAATGAGCAGAGTCCCTTGGATGGAGATGCTAACTGATCAGGTGACCAGGCTCCAACCAGTAAACAGATTGTCGTTAATTGTGGTCTTATCATTTCTGTTGATGAAATGAATAAAGTATTCATGTACCAATTCCATCTAAGGATGACTTACGGATGTTAATCACGAACCCTAAATGTGAATAGAAGTTCTTGTAATACCCTTTCCCAGATTCGTGGGCCTTTGACTGTCGTATTAAAGGCATCTCTGGAGTGCGATAAATATCAAGATCTCTTTACTTTAGAATTAAGCTAAGACTACCCAGTCCATAAATATAGCAATCTGAATACGTGGTACTAGCCATTCATTAATGCATAAAGTGAATTTAATGTTTTATGATACCCTTGTTGTAGTAGAAAATGATATGAGTGATCAAGAGAATTAACGTGTGCTGGCTCCTCTCTGAGGGGTAAAGCAGCTGAGGAATTTAAGGAGCTAACATTATATTTCTCTAGTAAACCGATTTTATTTTACTCCTTCTCAGGATGGTGTAAGCAGACGTCCTCCACTTTCACCAATCGAACCCTCCCTTCTTGCGCCCCGTCAACATACATTCGGTAGCCCCCAGAACTACCAAACGCCAAATGCTTCGGTCG